ATGCATATTCACAAGGGGATAGCATTAAGGTAGCACGGGCAACTTAATTCTGACATTTTCTAACTTTTGTCTTTGTAACTTAAAATTCCTTTAACATATTTTGTGCTATACGTATGACACAGACACACTCTCTAGGCAGGTGATATTACAGTCAAAAGATATACATAAATACAACAGCAAGAATAAAATGACAGCATCAGTGCAGATCAGGTCCCAGGTGCAACACTATTTAACATTCCAGAAGTCAAACCTGAACATTTCAGCTTCTCTTGCCAAAACAGTAGTCCCAAGAGTAACATCCCTCTTTCCCATATACCCTCGATACACTTGCCACAGTTATTATTGCATATATTAGCTCACCACTACCCCCAGATGAGAAATTCTTGGCAGAACATGGCATTTAGAACTCCCCAAACACAAGACAATGGTTTGATAGTGCAGCTGAAAATATGAATGAGATGCTCTACGTCCTAAGTATGACCGCATAATTGGAAAAAAAGGAGGTATGCAAGTCACATGAACTAATTGGTGTACATAAAACTCAGTTTCCATGCCTACTAGGAGCAGAACAGCTTCAACAGACAACCTGGAATACAGCCTTTTAAATCAGTGACTAACTCTTCAAGAGAAATGCTATATGTTTATGAAAAACATAAAAAACAGGAACAAAATGAGAATGTAGCATAAAATTAACATCACTGTGAAAAGCAAAAACAAACAGCATCTGGATAAACAGAAAAACTAACTTGCAGGAAACAGAAACCAAATTATTTAATGGCATCAGCACTAAATAAGAAATATAAATAAAATGGGGTATTGTTGGATTAGGTCTCACGACACAATAAATCCAATCAGTGACTGAGTGTAATGTTGTATGAACCTCATTCCTAACATATATAATTATGATTTACGCCATTTATTTTATTGGTGGCTTTTATTAATGACTTTTTAATCCATTTTCCAAATACCTTTTTGTACAAAGAAATCCTGTCTGAAGAACTATTTGAGTGCTAGACCCCTCAATTTAAGTCCAAAACCTCAAGGATGCTTCCTTTTTTCAAACAGTTTTGTCAGGAATCTATTTCTTTCAAGACCCAGTAAAGTGCTGCTTAATGAGAGAGCCCCCCTACAGCATATTCTTTCACAGCATAGATGAGTGCTGTGCATACATTTAGAAAATTAAGAGCAAGGAAGCGAGTACAGAGGAACCCGACCCTGTTATTTCTGCCCTGAAACAAGAGAAAGGCCTAAGAGGGGAAATTCTTAGCTATGTGCCTAACTAGCTCACACTTTACTTTGCTTGCACCTACACAGCCTTCCACTTGCACTACAGCACAACCACCTTGAATAGCCAGTTACAGGCCGCCCTCCATCCCCCAAATTAAAAATCAAAGCTGCCCACAGTAAATATATACTTACACATGTAATATAGTTTTGAGCATTTAAACACACTTGGTTGTGACCATCCCGCTCTTCACATATTGCTATATGGGAGGTGATCCCAAGATGGAAAAAGTTGAGAATTCTGGGTTACATTATTTTCAGCTGTAAAGAATCTTTTTAAACTGTTCAGCATTCCAAACTACTTCAGTCTCTGTCCCTGATACTTATATCATTTATTTGCTATCTTATTTCCCAAGGCAGTTCACAAAACAGTCCACGAAACACCACCCCAGCTAATCAAAACCATCCCTTCCAGCAGGTTCCCAACCCCACCAGCCCACTGCAAGGCAGTGGTCCTGAGCTCCTCCCTCCCAGTCTGGTAAGTGGAGAAGGGGGTGGCAGCATGGCAGGGGCTTGTGAGCCACACTTTAATGGTAAAAGAGCCATATGTGGCCTGCAAGCCATAGTTTGGCCACCTCTGTACTAGAGTGTTGCAACCAGCCTGCTACAAATCAGATTTTGTAAGTGTATAATGAGAAACTGAGTCCCTAAAAAGAGACTTGCTAACAGAACCTAATATTGAAGTGCAGAACCACCATCAACAAAGCCAAGAGGCTCCCTTGAAAAAATTCTGTGTAAGCAGATCACTTCACACAGTGGTTGAATTGGGGAAAAAATGGCAATGATATTCTTTCAAGCTCTGCATACAAAACAAACTGCACCCATACAAGTGACCAAACTGAGATGTTGCTCACAACAGATTATGCAGTTCAAAATATGATTGTGCTGCAACTGTGGCTCTAATGGGCTCCTTGAGCTTTTCTCTCCGTCAGAAGGGCTCCAATACATCTGTGGGCTCTGCTGGGCAAGTTAGACTTAGTTTCTTCTTAATTCAGGAAAACAATACGCAGTGATATAGGCAGACCACAACCATTACTTGTGGCACTAAAACGAACATTGCTCATGAAAACATTCCTCTCCTTTTTTACATGAAAAATTAAATAATTAACTATGTTGACATTTAAAGTACCACACTGGGATCTGAGTTAACACAGAAATAAATGGGGCAGTTCACACCTCTCACAGCTATTGCTCCAGTCTCTTTGCAAACTCACAGAGATATCTCTGCTCTGGTTATATCTGGTTCACATTTTGAGGTTCTCTTCGCAACCTAACAAACAGTGACTGAAGGCTTGCCCATTCTTCCTGCAGTTTGGACTACGGGGCATGAACAGCAGTGCGGACCAAAGTGCTGCGCCATAACTTCCCCATGTGGATGAGAACTAGACTTTCTAGTTCACATTAACACAGTCCTCTTCAAACAGGATCGCATTAATACAAAGTAGAAACCTTTTAATTCACACCCAGAGCGTCCACACAGGGGAGTTCCACCATAGCACTTTAGTCCACATTGCTGTTCACACCCCTATAGTCCAAACTGCAGAGTAGAGTAGACATAGCCTGAGTTTTATTTTAAAAAAATGAAAGCAGAGATACTGGAAAACAAAATAGCAATATACTGAGAGATAGCAATATGCGGTGACACTGCATAACAGCTGAATCCAAGGCCTGGCCTCACACAGCATAGCAGTTCCCCAACTGCATCCTGAGGAGTTCTAAAACGTGTTTCATTGCCATCCAATCTGTGTAACAGTAGAATAAGGACAGATCAAATGCAGGTTTTTATTACTGATGAATGCAAAGAACAAACAATTTTATTAATCTAACAATGAAGATACAGTTGTATATCACCATTTTCATTGATTCTTCATTTTAAAAATGATGTGGCTATGTATATAAATAGCAGTGGAATGCTGCTGAATGCTAACTCATGGAGCTGTCCTTTTTTCACATACATCGACCATATCATAGTTGAAACTAAGCCACCAACAATTATTAAACACGGGCATTGCTACCAAGTTTCTAAAACATTTTCTTTGATCAATGTGTGACAAAGGTTTTTTTCTGAGCATTACACTACCAACAAACACTACCACCACCTAGAAGAGTAAGGCAATTTGCATAACATGTTCTTAAAACCCATTTACACAGTGCTTTCTGCTGAGTTTAATCTTGATTTATAGCTGTGTGTTTACCAAAAGTAGGGCATGGGAAGTCAGACTTCTAGCAAGAATTGTGAACTCTGTTGCATGGACAAGACCTTAGGGCTTTTCTACACAGGAAATTTTGCCAATTAAGCTAGGTCTACATTACAGACTTCTCCCAGCACAATTACATCAGTCAGGGCAGGGTGTGAAGAGGTGTGATTCCTGACCAACACAGCTGTGCTGATAGACATTCCTACTGAAAACACAGCTATACCAGCAATGATACACTTTTATCAGTATAGCTTATTTTACTTGTGGGGGGTGGCCTTACTATACCAGTACAAAGTGTAGATCTGCTGGTTTAGGTGTGTCTACTCTAGGAGTGCTTTGCCAGTATAATAAGCCGATATATACCACACCCACAATATGATGGTTAAGCACTCCTACTGTAGGCATGGCTTTATATGGATACAGTTAAACCAATATAGTTATGCCAAAATAAAACCTTGTGTGAAAGTTATTACAGGATAAGAAATGACTTTTTATTTGTTTAGCTTAAAACCCTTCCCAAGCAATATAAACTCAACTAGAAAAAGGCCAGAATAAGAGCATCCACATGGGGGCTTATTATGGTATAACTATATTGGTTTAAATATAAGACAGATTTAAATTCACACCTTAACTTGCATCAACATAATTTTCCTGTGTAGAAAAGCACTTAGTCATAAACCGTGTCTACCCTCACATTCCCCAGTATCCCTGCTTCTGGTGGGAGCAATGGGAATGATAATGTAGACCGGATTATGACATTTCAGCCACCTAGCCAACAAACCCTGCCCAAAGCTGGTTTACACAGTACAGTGGTGAAGAGGCAGGCAGCTGCCAGCACCTTGTCTACACTAAAACTTGACCACAGTTAGGGTGACCAGACAGCAAGTGTGAAAAATCAGGATGGGGGAGAAATAGGCAAAATAGTCCCCAAATATCAGGACTGTCCCTATAAAATTGGGACATCTGGTCACACTAACCCCAGTTGTTATTGTTGGCAGTAGCAAGTGACCGTCTATGGGGGGGGGGGGAATAGCAGTGGGGGAGTCGCAGGCTGGTATCAGGAGGTCATGCCAGAGCTACCTTCCCCACATGTCTAGGTTGGGGAGGGGGCTCCTGCTGCAGGACAGGTTGAGAATCACAGGTCTAGCATAACCAGGGTCAACGACAGCATCAAAATCCCAGGCAGGGAGAGGGCGGGGGAGCAAGCTCCTACCAGCACCCAGCTTGGGCCACACGGCCCCAGGGCGGGGCAAACAGCGGGGTTACTGTCGCTCCCCAGGGCGACCTTCAGGGCGACCTTTAAAGTCAGCGGGCAGCCTACCTGCACGTTTCCCTCCCACAGCCCCGAGGCGCGCAGGGCAGGCGCGGGGCTTTCCCGGTGCCCCCAGCACAGCTTGGGGCGGTGGGAGCGGAGCGGCAGGGGCAGGGGCAGGCGCTGGCGCTTGCTGCTGCTGCTGCTGCTACTTGCGCCCCGCACCAGGAAAGGGGGGTGGGGGTGGGGAATGCGGCCGCCCCTACCTGCTGCGCCCGGCGCAGGCTCCATGTGGGGCGCCTCACTACAGCCGCTGCCGCCTCCGCCGCCACCACATAACCCCTCCCGAGAGGCCACGCTCTCTGCGCAGGCGCAGGCAGACTACGAGACGACGTCGGTAGGCCGCCGAGGCGGGGCAGAAGCGCGCGGGCCCGTGGAGCGAGTCGCAGGGTGGAAGACACCCGGCCCTCGGTGGCGGCGCGGACAGCGCCGAGCAGCGCGCGAGAGAAAGGCCGCGGGGAGAAGCGCGCGCCCTGGCGGGGGGGGAGAGTGTGCGTGTGCCGGCACCTGGCCGGTGAGAAGAGGGCAAGCGCCGGCAGGCAACCGAGTCGCAGGAAGGAGGGTGCTGGGAGGAGACGGGCGGCGCCCACAGCCAGGCGGTTGCTGTGCCCGGCTTAGGGGGGGACTCAGCCCCTTCGGAAGCCCGCCCAGTCCGAATCAGTAAAGTACAAGGGACTTGTGGCCTCGCTGTTGCCTTGGGGCGGGGTGTCTCTGAGTAACGTCCGGGCGTTAAGGAGCTGATCCTACTGATGACACCAATTCACTGTCTGACCCTGGGCAAGTCACTTATTTAGCCTCTCTGTGACTCAGCACCCCATCTGTACCGCGGGCACAATAACACAGCTACCGTGAGGGTGGCGATAGGGAGATGCCAGCTAGAGGGAGTTAGTGAAGTGTTTCAGAGTAACAGCCGTGTTAGTCTGTATTTGCAAAAAGAAAAGGAGTACTTGTGGCACCTTAGAGACTAACCAATTTATTTGAGCATAAAGTTTTCGTGAGCTACAGCTCACTTCATCGGAAGTGAGCTGTAGCTCACGAAAGCTTTATGCTCAAATAAATTGGTTAGTCTCTAAGGTGCCACATTTATTTGAGCATAAAGCTTTCGTGAGCTACAGCTCACTTCTGATGAAGTGGGCTGTAGCTCACGAAAACTTTATGCTCAAATAAATTGGTTAGTCTCTAAGGTGCCACAAGTGCTCCTTTTTTTTTTAGTGAAGTGTGTTTAACTATTACCACTTATGACTAACCTGTGTTTAAGTGATACCCTCAAATGCATGCCTCTGAGCACAAAGGCCTGAGAGCACCCTCCCTGTTACCATTTAGTTCCTGTACTGTTTGGGCTGGGGTCCCATTGTACTACACATTGGTCTCACAATGAAAAGAGAAAGGATCAGTGAGTTTACAATTTAAGGATACGCTGAGCCTTGGATGCACAGATGATAACAAAGAAACAGAATCAATATACAGTAACTCCCCACTTAACTTCTTCTCGCTTAATGTTGTTTCGATCTTACGTCCCTGCTCCATTACAGAACATGCTCCATTTAAAGTTGTGCAGTGCTTCACTATAACGTTCTTTGGCTGCCTGCTTTGTCCACAGCTGGCAGCCGCCCTATCAGCTCCCCTACGCCCCCTGCGCAGCGCCTTCCGCCTGCTGGCAGACCCTGTGGATCAGTGCCTTCACCCGCCTCCTGGCTGTGGCAATCAGCTGGCTTGTGGCGTTCAGGAGGGAGGGGGGAGAAGCAAGGATTTGGCATGCAGGCTTCTCCTGCCTCCCACGCAAGCAAGCTGATTGCTGGAGGCAGGGGAGGGAGGGGGGAGGATGCAGAGTTAAGGTGAGAAGAGGCAGGTTAAGGGTGGAGGCTTGGGGGAAGGAGTGGAGTAGGAGGGTTGAGCGCCCCCTCCTCCCCCTGGTGCTTGCAGAGTAGGGGAAGTTGCTGTTGCACAACTTGCTTCTCCTAGCCTACAGCACCTTCAGCCTCCTTGCCTGCCTGATTGTCTCCAGTGCCAGTGGGCTGTGCCTGTGTGGGGTAAGGCGGGGGCACCTCCCAACTATAGTACTGTAATGTACTGTATGGCAAAAAAAAAATTTCCCTGGAACCTAACCCCCCCATTTACATTCATTCTTATGGGGAAATTGGATTCATTTAATATCGTTTCACTTAAAGTCGCATCTTTCAGGAACATAACTACAGCGTTAAGTGAGGAGTTACTGTATGTCTCAAGCAATGGTCATAACCATTGTCAAGTGTTTTGTATGCATTATAGCACAGGTGAGTTTTAAGGAGAGATTTGAAGGTGGACCATGTGCGTATTTGAAGGGAATTTCTTCCATGTATATGAGAAGACATATAAAAATAGTACTAAAATGCTTGCTGGAAAAATTCATTAATATCCCTTACAAGAGCTCAAAAATAGGTTATTAAAAAGCATAAGCAGTTGTTGAAACTCTCTATGTACTTGTGTGGGCTGAGTTTGGACCAGTGTGCCTTTTAAAAGTGTGTTTGGGATAGTCCATAGTTTTTTGAGAGATAAATCATGTTGACACAGTGGGTAGCTCACAAAACAAAAGTGATGCTAAGAATCAGAATAATAGAATTGTAGGACTGAAAGGGACCTCGCTAGTGACAAAAACTGCTCTTTCTTTGTGTAAGCATGAGTTAGGATTGCCAACCTTTAGAGAATGAAATGTGGAACAATAAGCTGTTTTAAAACAAAGCAGTTAAGGGCAAGCATGGTCCTGGACCCTAGAGTGTGCTGGAATTGCAAGTTATCATTTTAAAAGTAGGGAGTTCCCTAGTCCTGCTTACAGGCTACTTAGTTCTGTAGAGAAGCATGTGGTCAGAGCCTCAGCAGTCTAGAAAATGCCAGCCTAAAATATGGCAGGGTGAGCTGTGCCCCTCGGCCTTAGGGAAAAACCTTCTTTGTATGTCTCTGTTCTGGGTTCTTGTACGTTAGTCTGAATTCTACAAAACTTATTTTGCAACCTTCCAGCAAGAGTATTTTATGTTTTTATTCAACTTCTCTATGCATGGCATCCATATAACACCCACAAAATTCAGAAAAATTAGATATTAGGGATACAGGGCAAGAGTTGAAACTTCAGAAACTGTTGCAACTTATAAAATCCTGGCCACTTTTAAAAAACAGGCCCCTCTCCCCCCACAGCAAATTGACCAATTGGCAGGGAAAAAAACATTATAGTTGGGCAGTGCTGCAAAAGTGGATTTTCACTTAGCACCTCTTCCATTATTTTGGATGCTTATATATCGCTCCATGTAGAGATTCCAAACTGAATAATTATATTTCTGAATGCTTTACATTTTCAAGCAAGCAGGAAATCCAAGAGTCCTCCCAACAAAAATTTTCCAAAATAGATGCAGATGAAGGATCATTTTTGTGATAACCTGTGTTTTCAGGGTTTTTGTTTTGTTTTATCTTTGCTGCGGAGGATCCTCTCTATCCTTGTCACAGTTCAGAGAATCTAACCATTTCTGTTTCTTTAAACACCTTAATTAAAGGCCCTGTGCACTTCTGGAAGGGATCTGGGAGCAAAGGATGGGGGAATCATATGGAAAAAATAGAACACATGGTTAGGGTTATCTATTCTGAACATTAATGTTAATTAAGGAAAAAAAGATCTGAGGCTTGGAACAGCTCTTTTTTTTTTCCAGACCCACTTCATTCTCCTCTTATGAGAAACCAAGTCCTTTATTTGGAAGTAGATTGTTTCAACTTTTATGGCCACATTGAGGATCAAATTCTTCATGCTTATGCATTCACAGTAATTAGCAGAGTGTGAGGTAGACAGAATATTCCAGCTGATCGCTCATGTCCTTGATGGTCTAGAGCATTTCTTTTAAGACTGTTATGTGCCCCGACACTTTCTACATCCACAAATTTGAGCTTAGTCCCTTAAATTGAGTAGAATAGATTTTGTTTCATGTGTCTGTAAAATATGAATTTCCTGCCAAGAATGGTACCGTCACCATCTTGCACTCAGGAACCCCCCCCCCCCCAATGAGCCTCACTCCCTCTGCACCTGTACCACACTGATGAGCCACCCGGATCCCCACCCCACCAAGCCCCAGTCAGCTACACCTGGATCCCCACGCCATTGAGCAGCACTCCTCCAGAACCTGAAACCCCCCCCATTGAGCCACACACACCCAGACCCCCCTGCCAAGCTCTATCCCCCCACACCCAGACCCCCCACCACCACTAAGTCCCACCCACCTTCACCTGGATCCCTCTGCAGAGCCCCATTATCGTTGCACCCAGAACCCCCAACAAGCCCGAGTGCATCCAGATCCCCCACACCTGGATTCCCCCACTGAGCTGCCTGCACCCTGATTGCCCCACAATTAACCCTCTCAGCCCACACCTGGATCCCCACACATTGAGCCCCTCCACAGTTGGATCGTGCCTTGCTGAGCCTACCTGCCCACACAGAGTGGCAGGGCTCTGGGGTGTTTCTAGGGCAGGCTGGGTCCTTGCACTGTGTCAGAGTTGGGTGCAGCCTTACCGCTGAATCCATGTCCTGGGGGCAGAGAGGGGAAGAGCTGCAGTCATCTCCCACCTGGTGGCCTGTGCTCCCCAATACCATGCTGGAGCCTCCACATTTATTTGACAGATAAAATTTGCAGAATTTTAAATTTTTTGGCACAGAATTTTAATTTTTTTAGTGTAGAATGCCCTCAAGAGTAAGCAGCTTTGCAGATATTTATCATGTGCTCCTTCCATGCATAAGGGACAATGTGGGAGAAAGTGCAAAAAGGTGCTCAACAGAAAATTGGACAAATGAGCAGTTGAGATTGACATCACTTGTGGAGCAGAGTCATGGGGTTGACATCTCGATAGTGTATATGAGACAATAGGTTGGGGATTGGCCAGAAAGGGCCTTAAAAATGAAGACAAGTAGTTTGTTTTAGATGTAGATGGGGCAGCCAGTGGAGTGCAATGGTTGAAACAATAAGCCAGGAACATGAGAATTGCATGTAGGTAGGACAATATGGCATTTCTCAAGGTCAGAGAGGAGGAGGTTGCTATAATCATGACACAAGAGGATGAGGGCCTAGGCAAGCATTTTAGCTGCCTAAACAGAGAGGAAACGCATTATGTACACAGGCATAATGCAATGGTCGCATCTACCTGCAAAAAGTGAGTGTGCTTAACTGACAGCCTGAATCAACCACATGCCAGCCAGTGTCACTAGCAAGGATGAAACACTATTAGGTTCTATAATTAATTGAGTATTAACTATACTGTGTGTGGTCACAAACCATGCTTAGGGATAATGACATGTCACTAACAGGCTATGTACTGATTAAGTTATAGTTTAGCCAAGGCTTTAGCAACATGT